TCTGAAACTGCCTTACTGAGGGAATGAGCATTCCGTAGGCTTCTGCCCCCTCTCATTTTTCATATAATAGGAAAATCTGGCTGCAAAATGAAACCACTGCCTTTCCCTACAGTAGAGAGGAGACTTATTCCAATGGGAGTGCCTGAATTTCATGAAATAACAAGCGAGGGAATACCTGCAATGTAAGCATGCTCCCTTCACACATTTCCTGCATATGTGGTTGCACTCCTCAATTTTTCCTTCCCCTAGCATTGATTTATCGAGTAATGAAGTCCTGATGATAAAGAAGGCCCTACCTATCACATCCACTATCAATGCCTTCCAGACATGTAAGATAACCTTTATTGACTCAATACAAAGGGTATCACACAGGCGACATGTTCAGAGCGTGGGGTTAACCTTAACCCCCTCCCGGGTGCTGCTGGCCTTGGGGATGGACACTGTCACATGCTGCCTGCTCTGCTGCACRGCAATACCCGAGGCCAACCCTCGGTGTTTTAGCCACATAGGAAAGCATTGATTAAAGCTACAGAAAGTCAAAGCTAATGAAAAAATCTCTTTCTTCTTAATCATCTGCTCTATCAGAGGCCTGCAGGGAAAAAAAATAGGCTTCTTTTGGAGATATTATTAGGTATTATGTGTTTTGCTTTTCTTCAAGAATSTGAAATGATTGGCTTGTCTTTGGGGGAACAGGTGCTCTAAGGTYTCAAATCTTATATTAATTAGCTCTTGCTGTCCAGTTAATTGCATACATCTATTCCTATAGGCGAGCTGGGGAATTATGGTTTACAGAACTGCAAAGCCTTTTATAATCAACTTTCCAGGGGTCAAATGTCTGCAAGAAATAAAAAAAATCTGGCACGCGGCAAATATCTAACAGGGCCTGGCACTGCTCGCTCCYGGACACAAGCTCAAAGAAATGAAGACTCAGAACAGGCACTGCGTGACTTTTGTTAATGAACTTGAAACAAATCAATGAGATCCTGACACCACAAATTTGCGCTTCTGTGGAGGCAGTGAAATTATTCCATTTGCATCCTCTGTTGAAGAGCTGCAGTCTCTAGCCGGTCTCCAAGAAAACCTTGCCATAGCTGGGTAGGAACCAGAAACCAGGTGAGTTGTGCCTGAGTTTTGAGTTGGATGAAAATTATTTCTCTCTGCTGGGCAGACAGGAGCTACCGAATTTAATTATTTCAACCCACAACCATAATCTCTTTTTTGCACATAAATTTGTCCTTGCTTCACAGGAGAGAGAGGAGACATGAAAAGCAAACAGCAAAGTTTGGAACTACTCTCAGACRGCTAAAAGAGCTCATGCAGAGGTCAGCTGAACCTTACCCAGTGCAAAGAGGACTGCTATTAAATGTGTGAATATATTCAACACATTTGCATAGGAAACCTGGTTATTTATGGTCACCACCCTGCAAGGACTAGTGCTCACCCAGGTCAGAGGGGCCTGAAGCTGCAAAAACTCTTCTTCCCGCAGGGTCTCAGTGAGAGTGACCCCGCAGAACGGCTCTGCCAGCTTCCAAAGCCAAAAGCAAGAGCGTTAATGATGCATTAGTGCACCAAAGATGTTGCTTCAGGATTCAAAGCTGCACTCCAGCCACGCCAGAGAACCACAGGAGGTTTGTGCTGAATACTGAGGCTACACAAGTGTTTTGCTTTTAAAAGCAAACTCACTTTCTCAATCTTTTTTGCTGTTTGTCAGTCGTTGGTAGAGAGCTTGGGAAATTACTTTTTTGTTTTGTTTTGTTTTGTTTTTCTAATTGGTGATGGAGCTGAAAACCTGTGAGAAAATTTGCTTCAGGCCAAGCCTGACTATTTAGTGTTCTACTGAAAACTAGCTCAGAGAGTGGTCATCAGTGGCACTGAGTCCAGTTGGAGGCCTGTAGTTAGTGGTGTCCCCCATGGATCAGTCCTCAGTCCGGTCCTGTTCAATTTATTTATCAACGACCTGGATGAAGGGCTGGAGTTCTCCCTCAGCAAGTTTGCTGATGATACCAAACTGGGTGGAGTAGCTGATAGCCCTGAGGTCTGGGCTGCCATCCAGAGGGACCTGGACAGACTGGAAGACTGGGCAACGAGAAACCTCATGAAGTTCAACAAGGGCAAGTGCAGGGTGCTGCACTTGGGGAGGAATAACCCCGGATACCAGTACAGATTAGGGGTTGACCTGCTGGAGAGCAGCCCCGCAGAGAGGGACCTGGGCGTCGTGGTGGATGACAAGATGACCATGAGGCAGCAGTGTGCCCTGGTGGCCAAGAAGGCCAACGGGATCCTGGGGTGCATTAAGAAGAGCGTCTCCAGCAGGTGGAGGGAAGTGATCGTCCCCCTATACACAGCCCTGGTGAGGCCACATCTGGAGTACTGCGTCCAGTTCTGGGCTCCCCAGGACAAGAGGGATGTGAGCTGCTGGAGAGAGTCCAGCGCAGGGCTACCAGGATGATCAGGGGCCTGGAACATCTGCCCTAGGAGCAAAGGCTGAGAGAGCTGGGCCTGTTCAGCCTGGAGAAGAGGAGGCTGAGGGGGGACCTGATCAGCGTGTATAAATACCTCAAGGGAGGCAGTGAGGAGGAGGGGGCCGGCCTCTTTTCAGTGGTGGCCAGCGATAAGGCTAGAGGAAACGGCCACAAGCTGAGGCACCAAAAGTTCCACAGGAACTTGAGAAAACACTTTGTGACAGTGAGGGTGCCAGAGCCCTGGCACAGGCTGCCCAGGGAGGTTGTGGAGTCTCCTTCTTTGGAGATCTTTAAAACCCGCTTGGAYGCAGCCCTGTGCCACGTGCTCTAGGTGACCCTGCGTGAGCAGGGGGGTTGGACTCGATGACCTCTGAGGTCCCTTCCAACCTTAAGGATTCTATGATTCTATGAAAAGAAAAAAAAAAATAGAAAAGTGTGTTTTAAGTGTTTTTTCTCTTTAAAACTATTTTTTCAGTAACCTTATCATCAGCAACATTTCTTCCCTCTTCTGCTCTGTTGCCTGCTAATTAATAGCAATGAGAAATTTCTAGTGTTACAGACTAGAAAAGGATATTTTAATTGCTGTCATCACTGTTAATAGGTGAATTTCACAAGTCCCTATTATTCCCACAGACCTTCTCAAGAAAAAAAAAAGTTACTCTGTCTTGCAGACAGAAAACATGACCAGAAAACCCAAGAACTCGCTTGCTGTGGCCATGCAGGACATCCAAAGCTGCATTTGCTCTACCAAGAAGTAAGGAGGAGCCCAGAAGGAGCACAGCTGTAAACTCCGATATCTCATGCTGAAGCCCTGAGTCCACAATACTTGTGGTGGGTCAGAGCCCCCCGGTGGGTAACCCTCGCTCTTGTTTTACTTGTAGCCTAAAGTACAAGAGACGGCTCACAGGTAGACAAGAGGTATATGGCAGAATGCTATTAAAATCAYTCAGGCATCCAGTTGATGCATTTTCCTCACTTGTTCAGGGTTAACCTCACCATCTGGTCTGGAATCAGGAAGACATTTTTCTCCAGAACAGTGTGAAATAAGCATCATTTATTTCCTGGCCAATTGCTTTTAGTTTCTTTGTTTTCTAGTCTTTTTCTGTTGCTTTTTATGTTCTACTTCCTGGACAATCTGGGAGTTTTTTTCCAACTAAAAACTTGCTTTTGCAAGACTTAGGATATAGGAAATGGCCTCAGGTGTCCCATGGCACACTGCATGGGGAAGGTTTTGATTTCTCACCACATACCTTAAGTTAGTTTTACAGCTGATGAGGAAAGACCAATATGTGTAACAGATGTTTGGTGTTTCCTTCAAAAATGAAGTTCCTAAAACACAGTATGTGACCCAGAGGGAGGGCTCTTGATTACACAATTGGTCCTTTGTGGTCCTATAAGGCAGTATTCATTATGCACAATTTAGTACTAAACACACAGTTTTGGGCTTGACCCTCTGTCTGCAGTAAGCAAAGGCAAAACCCAAGATCCAAATGGTGATGAACTGTGGTCAACACCAGCATTGGACAGCATGTCTGCACCACAGTACAGGCTCTTGGCTTTCACTTAGTTGCACATAGACTTTATTCTTCAAGCACAACTGCATCACATGCTTCCCCTGAGAGATACTTGCACAGTTTCAAGACAGGCAATGAGGGCTATTGACTATGACTAAGAATACAGGGTTACAAGAGTTGTGCAAAAAAGACCTATTTCATTACATTTCTTTCTGCATCTGCCAATAGCAGATTATGCCAAAGTATTGCAAGCACTTTCTGCACATGCATAATTCAAAACATGCACTTTTTTATTATAACTTTTGCATGGAGAAAACAGACACTGGCAAGATGTACTATGTAAACAAAACATGGAGAAATCATCAATATGAACAAAATGATAATATCAGGCATTAACAGTGCCACCAAAGTTGATTGATATGCCTTAATAATGTCTTTCTACTTTCCTAGAGGAGAAAGAACAAAATAGAAGTAAGACTTCCTACTATTGGATKGTATTTTGCAACTTCATTTTTCTTTTCAATCACATCCAAGGCAGGGATTTTGTACTGAGAGTGTAATCTTCTTTTAAAGAACTCCTAGTGTGCTTCTCTTTATGAACTGACATTAGCTGTTATTAAAATATATATTTATTTACATGGAATTGAAAACACTCTTGTTTCATTTGGCTTCTGCAAGGCTATGGTAATACTAAATGTATCAGGTCACTGCGCTCTTTGGATCATATTATCTCCTTTTACATTCTGCTTGCAAATATTAGAATAGATTAGAAAAAACTATATTTTAAAACACAGCAAAACACGAAGTACTTCAAAATAAAATCACTGTTTTCCAGCTGGTTTTTTTTTTTTTCCCCTTTTTAAATGAGTTTTGCCTAAGGGTTTGATTTCATAAAAGCTAGATAGGCACACAGCAGTTTTTGACGTCTAGAGTTTTTTATTGCAGGGATCAAGATTATAAAGGTGGCTGGAGATTTCCAGGTAGAGAGCTTTTGTTCCTAAGACAAAGCCAAAACTGTTCAAGATCGTMAAAACTCTGGAGCAAGAAACAAACAACTCATGTGGTTCCCTCGGCRTAAATCTCATGGATGGACAGAGGGTTCAGGAGAAGATGGCCATGCAGTCCAGACCTTGGAGCTCCCTCGCCTCCTCCTGTTGAAGTGTCTGAAGTGTCAGTGTCTGGCAGACCGAGAGCACCTAAATGTTCTTCAGATGGAGCATCCAGCTACAATAGCCCAGGAACAGCACAACACCTGCAGCCCAGGATACAATCCCACCAACGAGATGCACAGGCAGTTTCATCCACCACTGCATGACCTTGCGTTTGTCAGCATCAAAGCAAGTGTTCACAGGAATCCATCCCACCCCCAATGCATCCTTGCTGCTCTTGCCCCCAGTGACTGCTCCAYCAGTTTCAACTCCATTGCCATTTTTATAGATGATTATTGTTCCAGCTCACTCCTAAAAATTCTTTAATAGCACTAGATTAGGAGATGTTAAACCTGCTCTACAGTCTGTCCTTGCAGGCACCCCTCAGCCATACCTCATTTCTGATGATACTTTTGCTTTCAGATTTATTCTTTGTGATTTAGCAGGTTAATCAGTAATCACTTAGTAATGGCTCACCACAGTATTTACATACCACTAACATTTTCAGCAAGATAGTAGGTTTCAATTGCTTTGCAGAAACCAAAATATACTATGCTGACACAGGTAAACTGAGCAAACCAGTGATTCATAAATACGTCGCATTATTATTAATATCTATTTTTAATTCTTTGCTTATTCAGTACTCTTTATTTTTACATGACTTTTCTCCAGAGAGTTGAAAAATTAAGTGGTCTATATTATAGCAGAGTCATTCAATTTACCCTTTTAAATTGCAGCACAATATTAGCTCTGGCATCACTCAACTCTCATGTTGCAAGATTTGCTAAAAAAACAGCGCAAGTGTTCCTCAGTCCTTTTAGTGCTGGATATCGGCACTATGGCCCTGAAATTTAAAATAATTTAATTTTGATGGCTGCTATTTAACATCCTCCCTGATTAACAGCAGGAAAGAAAATTTTATCACTCTTGTTATGATCTTCCTTGTACCAGTTCTAAGGTTTGATATGTTCTTAATACATTTAAGGAATTTCTTTAAAGGAAGCAGCTATATATTGTTCAGCTCCRTCTTTAGCCTCTTTTACCGATTTTTTGATTTTTCTGTTAAAGAAGTTCATATTCCGTTTGCTATATCAAGTTTTCTTGGGTGTGTATGAATATGTATAAATGTATTTGATTTCACATAGAATTGCTGCTCTTGCTTCTGATCTGCAGCAGGCTGTAGCCTGGTTTTCCCTGATTGCTGAATTGCAGGGACTTGAAATTTAATAAACCTTTCATGAAGAGTCTTCTATTATCATCTGTACTCTGATGTTTCAATTTTTCTCATTATCTTTTTTTTTTTTTTTTTTTTTTTGAGAATTGTCCCTTTTTAGAGCAGAGAGATATATCTATCTACTGGATATATCTGCCTTCCAGTTAGGATGAAAAAATGCAGTTGGGTTTGATCACTTACATTTCAACAATGCTTTTGCATTTAGGTGAAGCAATCAAGTTGCCTTATGCTTCAGAATAATATCTAATACAGGCTTTTCTTTTGTCATTACAAAACTCCATCTCACTTTTAGAAACTCTGAGGGTTTGCTATGGGTGGACGTATGGATATACGCTCCCAAATCTGAACCAAGCACTGGCTCCCACCAGCYCAGCTGCATGCAGGCCAGTGACCATCAACATGCAAGAGCTCTTGACCTTGGGCAGTAAATTGCTCTCTGGGGTTCAGCCAGTCTCTGCGATGCAGAAAGCACCTCCTGCTTGACCACAAGCACCCAGACAAACACATACACCTGCTGCCCAGTTTTCTTTAAGAGGCTGTGGTTGATGATTTGGGCACTCCAGCCACTTAAGACTTTCTACCAGCTTTCAATGACACTAATGATATCCAATTTCTTATCACAAATGAGAATAGGTAATTCCTCTTACTTATTGCCCAAGCTTCTAGTGCTTCTTCTTTACCCCAAGTTTAAGTTATATCATTAGAGCAAACACACTGTGTTGGTGCTCTTCCATCAACTCTCATTGGTATGCTGGTTGGAAAGCTCTGGGGTTTCTTTAGTCAGATAACTCTTCCAGAAGATGGGGGGCCTTCTTAGACCCATGGCAATTCACATCTCTCCCAGCCCTGTGCTGTTACCCATACGCACACAATGCAAATACACTGCAGGCATAAAACCTTCTCTCTCCCATTTAAAAGGAGGTAAGAATCATCATGCACAGAATCACATCCAAAGCCTTTCTTTGGCTTTCCTCTATCTTCATGTCTCCCACCTAAATCCCATGACACTTAAGCCTGCTCCTACCAGCATCCCAGCACTGTTTACCACATAAACATCTTTTGCACATCCAAATAGCATGGGGATGTGTGCCTGCTACCCTGAAATCAACAACTATGGTTTTTTTGCCATCTGTGTGGTTCACTAGGCAGGACATACAACATGCCTCCAGTCATACTAATCACATCATTTCCCCCAGGTATTAAGTATTACGATCACTAGGTTATGACCTGCCGCCCCTCTAGTACATGCAACACTTACGAGCAACATGTTACGAGCAACACTTCTTATCCTGATGCAAACCTGCAGGATCAGCAGAGGCCTGGGAGACTAAATACCCCCTCTCAAATACATGCACCCACAGGCAAACCCCAAGCATGGCTCCTCCGAGCTCCTCACAGTGTCACAAATGACACTGCACACTGGCTATTTTGCTTCCACTACCTGGTATTCCCAAAGCGCTTCAGCAGAGCCTCGGGATGAGCTGTAGAGATTAGCTCCAGGCATGCAGCCTGCAGGGACGGACTCTTGTCAACTCTTCTCATTTTTTCCCCGAAAAGGAGAGGAAATCTAACAAGTGCAGCTAGTATTGATACCAAAGTCATGGTGGGAAATCAAATGAAAGAGGTGCCAGTTCTGTGTGGTCTCCCCCTCAGTTTCCCTTGGTACTTACAAGTCTATTTAAATCCTCTTTCAACCCAGCTTCTGGGCTTCACATTCTCGCTGGAGAATGTCAAGTGGGCCAGAGAGCTCCGCTCTCTAACCACAACAGCACTGAGCATGTTTTAGCAAAGCCACCTAGAAAAGGTATTCACATTTCAAACCAGCAGCAGGCCAAATCTTCCTATGGGACTCTTCAGTAAACAAGCATTATCTCCAGTGGGACAGATTTGCAGATAATCAGGTCAATAGGAGCTCTCAGAGCAGAACTCTGGCCCTACAAACAACCATAATCATTAAGTTCATGATTAGAGAATATTGACAAAAATTGAGAGCCTAGATTCTCTCTGCAGTATGAGATACACAGCTGTGGTGGAAAGGCTGTGCCTGTTGCCAAAAAGGAGGGGAAAAATCTACTCTTTGAAAACATTGCAAAACTCTGAAAAGATTCAGAAAAAAATCCTGAGATTCATGAAGGTATTGGAAAGCACATTGGAGGACAACAGATTCAAGGGGCTCAAGCTATTTATTCAATCAAGACTGAGGGGTACTTGGTTAGGTCCTAGAAATTCCTATACGGCGAAATTGAATTTGACCAGAATTCAATCTGCAAACTAGCAGTCAAATATATCAATGATCAAATGGCTAGAACCTCAAATGGGACAAAATGAGACTAGAAATTCAATGCAGTTTTTAACAGTGTTTGTACTTAATCACTGGACCAATTTACCAAAGGTAAATTGGATTCTCCATCACAGGAAAGCATTACATTAAATGGGGACAGCTTGGTTTGGTTTGGCTTCACTAATAATTCAAATAAGAGTGAATTTAGGGCAGTGTGACCTTGAAGGCTGCTTTTAGCTTTTCAACCCGTTATTCTACTACTCCCTTTCTCCTGACCTGCAGCAGAGGCAGAAAGGTCTCCTGCCTTCTGCCCTGCTGACATGGCTACTGCAGGGTCAATGTGGGACATCCAGAGATAGAGACCATGGCCACAGCATCCTTTCCCAGGTAGCCAACCTGAGATAGCCATATTTGAGTCTATTCGTGCCCTTAGCCCCTTTTACTTTGCTTACTTGCACAGTGTCCAGACACCTCTGAAATTACAGCCCATCCCCACGGGATTCAGCTCCTTGTCACTAAGGTTCTATCAGCCTCCTGAACACACACTTTTTCCCCYGAAGCAGTACAGGATTTTTCCACTCAGTATCCCTGCCTGCAGCAACAGTCTGAAGTTTATGGTTTCAGTAAGAAAACCAGACAATGCAGGGAGAAATGGGCAAACAGCAAAACGGCCTTTAAGTCCCACAAGATAATCCATCGGAGAGCCCCACACTGCAGAAATGCTCATCCACCTCCCTCCCACATATGCCTTGGTAGGGCAGAAGCCCCCTTTTTAAGGGCTTGTTTACACACAGGCATGCTCAGGARAGTCAAGGCAAATCTCCCGTAGGCAGGAGACAACGTTCATAATTCAAAGAGCAGCAAGTCTGCAAGAAGATGTTAAAACAGCTTCAGGGTCCTAATGCATTGGCCTGAGACGACTGAGCTGCAGTGACAGAGCCGACTGCCTTTCCCACCTGTCTGCCCCCCTGCTCCCTTTCCATGGCCAACACAAGAGCATGGGAGCCATGGGAGAGGCAACTCCCAGCGCCAGGGATTATGGACCAGGAATTAATCCAAAGCAAAATTGATTGCGCATTCAATTAATGAGCAAGATTGATCACTGCAGCAAGGCTGAAGGCAGGTCAAATTACAGCCCTGCCAGAGGAAGAGTCCCCAGCTAGAACAGGCTGCTAATCTGCTAAATCTTCCCAACATGAATCACCCGCATTTGTGCAATAGAGTCTTTAATTCACTATAATTCAGCTCTCTGAGGCATAAACCACAGAGATCTACAGCCACTTAAACTCCCAAGCAAGAGCATCCAGGCATGTTATGAATTTTGCTCAGTGTCTTCACACCTTTGTTTCAATTTCTACTTCTCATGCAGATGTGGACCAAGAGACATTTGGAATAAGACTGTGCTTTTCAGGCTCAGTCTTAAAGTCTTAAAGCTTTGACATGAACCTGTTTTTTTGAAAAGTTRTCTATGCATCTCCTGCCCTGCTTCCCTGATGAAATCTTTTACCAAGTCTGCCACAAGAGCTGTGTTTTCTTCAAAGTGCTGCATCCGTGATTAGGTGTGAAGTGCCTACATACCTCATTTGTGCCTGGCACTATCTTGTGCAGGGATTCTTTTTTTTTTTAGTTGGTTTATGTGTATAACAATTCTAACTGAAACAAAATATTCAGGTTCCTGACATCTGGGAAATGTATAAATTCTGAATGCATAAGGTCTTTAAAACTGAGTTTCTTTAATGAGTTTTGGGTCATATGCACTTCTGCTATTTCTCCATATCACTAAACTACTGTGAAGATTAAGGCAGTGAGGTTCAGAAACGTGTTTTAATCATTACAGATAGTTTATGTAAGAATAGTTATTTTAGATCTACACTTTTGAGTATTTAGACATAAAACCTAGCTGAGTTTAAGAGCGTGAATTTTGAATTGTCTTTTATTCAAAACCTATAAATATTTATATAGGAAACTAAAACCAATCTTTAAAAATCAAGTGAAATCTTTTATATTTAAAACTGTAACTGCTTAAATCACCATTACTTTGTCCCAGAATGTGGCTTCTTTTGATCTCTAAGCACAGCTCTTCCCAAAACCTTCACAATTGATAAGGAAATTATCCTGGTAGAAATGCAAGCTTAAACATTACTATTCCAACACTTTTATATTTAGTTCAGATATTTTGGTTAGATATTTGGTTATTTAAGAAAGCTGATTTTCCCCATATATCACTGGCATATCAGTTTGAGTTTGTAAAAATAATGCCAGCTCAATAGAGGCTCATTTTTACCAGTCAGGAACCTGTCCTCCTACATGTAAGTCACCTCTTGCATTGATATAATAAACAATTGTATCTGCCTTTTTTTCTGAACCTTTCTAGAAGCGGAAGCATTGGAAGCGAACCAGAAATACTGTGCTAGAAATGTGAGTTGAAATTGGAAAGCAACCAGCAGGTCCAATTAGTCAACTGTTTCCAAACTCCATCACAAACACCTTTTCTGCAAAACATTAGTGGCCTCCAAGAAGAGCAGGAGCCGTTTGACCCACGCTCCSTGCAGTGCTGGATTAGCACATGGAGGTCTTCACTGGCCCATCGGACATCACGTTGTCCCCAGGCAGCTGGAGAGGGCACCCACGTGCCCACTCCTAGCCCCTCCAGGAACCCTTGGAGCCTATGCAGAGAGGCAAATTGCTTTGGAAACAGCAACTTAGCTTGTCCCGATTTCACTCCAGTTCCCTGCTGACTGCGAACAAGCTCTTACAACTCGTCTGACTTTTCTGATTAAAAGCATTATCTTGGTGCCAGGCTAGAATTTAAGGCGTCAGACTGGACTCAAGCCTCAGCTAAGCAACAGGGCTGGTTAGATAAGTATCCAGAAAGCCTTGTGGAGAGTTAGCTGTTTCAGAAACAAGCTGCAATGATACCATAAATAGACTRGCACACAGGACAGCTCAAATTGGATTTTGGCCTTATTCGAATGATAAAAGGGCAACACCTTTTAACAAGGATACTAAAACCTTTCTGTAAGGGGTCCTCTAGAAATGAAATTCAATAAACAGACACCAATTAAAAGAGAGAGAGAAGGGCAATATAAAGATAGTCAGTTTTCCTACATGAAGTGTAGATAATAATTGAATATACAAAGCATCCAGTCATAAGAAAACATATGAGGACATTGATCACTTTAAACCATAATCCTCAAGCAAATAGTAGTCTCTTTTTTTCTATCTAAAAATAGAGCTGGATCTCTAACCATGTCAGAGGAGCAGATAATAACCATCAAAAACCCACAGAGACTTGACTCCCAGCATGAAAATTTTCCTCTGTATGAGAAACAGCACAATTTTAGCTTTCCAAACATAAATGGGAAATGGCATAGGGGAAATCATAGTGTACCGAGGGGAATTTTTTCTGGGCAAGATAATAACAATTTTCTCAGCCTATGTCACACACGTAATTGGTTCTCTTACACGTTAATGAATTTGCATCTCTGGCTTTCCACTGAAATAGACCTCTTTCAGATCTTTCTTCCCCACACCGTTGTGTAAGAAACTCCCATAGGTCCCTATGAACACACACTCTCATAGGTCYATATAAATGAATGATTTTACTAACGTAAAGAGAGTTCTACCACTGTTAAGCCTCATCAATGAGATTAGAGACAGGACCATGCTGTCTGCTCCTTTAAAGTGTATTATTTTTTGTTAGATCACCTTTGTTCATAACATGGCCATTGAAAATTTAATGTTCTTATATATATCACTGTCAAACATTATTGCACATCCATGGGGGCAAGTAATTTTGTGAAGTGATGGACTATGAGAGATACCAAATACAGATTTATCGGAAATTCCTGTTGAAGGTAAATGAATCCTTTCTGCCAGCTGGAAGACAGAGCTATAGACAAGCTATTTTCTCACCTGTCTATCATTCTTGATGTACAGAAAATGATGACTGCTGAGTTTTAAAATCAGATTACTACCGCTATGCCTCTAAGCTTGTTTTTAAGTACACACTGTTTGTCTTATCTCTGAAATGAAAACAGTTTCAGGGCTAGACTGCTTGGCTAGAATTTACCAATTAAAGGAAAATGTTAGAAAAAAATCCCCTTTATGATGAAGGCAAATTCTTATGTAGTACATAAAGAATATGATTCCCAAGTCCACACTCAAGAGCTAGTGGCCAAAAAGCTAAAGGAGAGCACAAAGAAATGATCTCAGCCCTGCACCATTTGAGGCTACACGAGCAAATTCCCCACTCCACCAGAGCAAAGGGACAGCACATGGGCCAGCAGCATCCTTTTTTGAAAGGAAGGTGTATAGCAGCAGACTAGAGCAACAACAAACCCACCTGCATCTCCCAACTTGCTCTTAGCTCAATTTCTCACAGAGATCCAGGAAAACTGCAGCTCTACACCTGGACAGGATAGAAGCAAGTTTATTAATTTTTGTATTTTTCTTCTGAAAACACACACTAGTGTCTCCCTTAAAAACAATGACTAGTATATTTTTAACTYATAATGTTAAAACACTTCATGTTTCTGCTTATGTTTTTTGTGTGTGTGAAATGGCAAAGCGAGGGCACATTTTGCATCCCTCATCTGCAGGTTTATTCTCTACAGATTTCTCTCTCCCGTGACAAGATACAGCTACGTGTGTCCATGCACCAACATATCGGTGCCAGGAAAAGAAGACATGAATGCAGAAGCCAAGCGTTTCATTATGCCCTCACAAAGATTTAAGTAACCCAAAATCATGGCATATTGAGCATCTCCCTTGCTTTCTGAACACCTAGAGGACAGCTCAGTGCTCCTACAGATGAAGTCTCGGCAGGCTTGAGGCCTGCAAAGTCCTACAGAATGATCAGCCCTGTGCAGAGGGTCACATATATGTGAGGRTAAGGTAGGGACCCTAGGAAGAGAGTCTGTGTTGCCATGGTTAAGCTAGCTAAGGCACAGCCAAGCAAGATACAGAAACTTAGATACAGATTAGAAGATTGTGCTGATAATTATATTGCTTTTGCCTGTGATTTTTGTGGTTAGGCAGAATTGTCCATTTAGTCTGAAGACAGCAAGTCTCAGACTTGCTGAGTTTTGAAACTTTCTCTGTGACTTTATAGCACGTTTCACATGTTTTGGCCACAAAMGGTCAGATCTCCGCTTAGTCCCTATCTGCCACTGAGGAAGTAGGAATATGATTTATCAAGGGCTCCACAGTTTTTCTAGTGGAGATGATGCCCGTGCTCAAGTTCAAGGCAGCACAGCAGTCGCCAGTTGAAAGTGGACCCAAGGATGGCCATGGCAGGCCCATACAGCACTCATATGCCCCTGGGCCAGTGCTTGTTCAGAGGTCCCTATCTGCACATGCCCAATTTCTTGAAAGATAATTACCATTTTTATTAATCAGTCAAAATTTCTACCATAACAGGTTAGTTCCCTATTACTGTTCTTCAGTATAGTCTTTCTTTTGCTTTTCTAAGCGTGTTTTCTCCTTCTACACAGGATTTCACTCACAATCTCCCCAGCATCGCTAGCTGCACTCGCTCCCTGCCACGGCGGCGCGTGATTTCTCTGCGTTGTGCTGTATCGCACCRCTTGCTGTTCACGCAGTGCTCGGCACGATCAGATGGGCAGATCTGCTTCTTTGCACCAGTTACCATGACAGCGTTGTCGCCTTGGGGTGCCGCCTTCCTTGAACTCCCGCACCTCCTAGATGAGGGGTCAAATAACAATTACTTGAGTTAATGACATCTATTATACACCTGGGGACAGCACCATTTCCAGCAGCTTCCAGGGAAGAGTTAAGCTCTACAGAGAGATAAAGATAATGCTCAGAGACCAAGGGAATTACACAGCGCATGTGTAGGCCAAGCCATGGAAAGGCTGTCTAGTCTGCCAGATTTCACATCCTCCGGGTAGCCGGAGGGGACAYGTGGTAGCCACCGCATCTGACCCACACTCAGTCAGTGCCGGCTCAGACTGGAGAGCTGGCAGGAGCGCAGAAAACAGATGTTGCTGCACTCTGCCTCTGTCAAAAGGCATTTTATTATATTATTTTTAATCTTGGGGAAACGCAACCTGAGAGGAACAGAAGATGCTTAAAAGTAGGAAAAGAGGATGCTTAAAAGTATTCACAAAGAGAAAATAAATGGCACACACAGACAGTCTCTGTGAGGGATGCTGCCAGAAGGAACATGGCTGGGAGAGGACAAGGGAAGATGTTGGAACATGGTAAGGAGGGAAGTGGATGGAGAGAGGCAGAAAGGATCAGAGCTCTCAGGTAAGGAAGGAGGGAGTACTATATATATATATGTATATAACAAGTGGTGTAAAATCATTGTGAGGACAAATAAGCAATTTAGGAGAAAAAATAAAAGAGCATAGCAACTCTCATGTTGTCTTCCTCTACCAAACCAACTAAAGGATAGATTTTCTCTGCATGAATTGGGATCTTTGTGTCCTTGACTCCCCAAAGACTTCTGTTCACTTTTATGAGCCGGATTTGAAAGAAAGCATTTCCTCTTGTGATATATTTCCCTGTCTTTTCTTATATTCTATATGCAAGCTGGGTATGAACCTCCAAGGGAGGGATTACTCCAAGAGTCCTATCCTTGCAGCCCCATGGACTTTCCTCTGAGAAAACCTGCCTTTGCTACTTACTATCCTGCTCACTCTCCAGCACAAAGAAAGGGCATTTTTCTCCGTACACACATGAATATTTGAACCATACCTCTAATTAGACTCTCAAAGAGTCTTAATCACTCAGCACCTACCTCCAGACATACAGCATAGCCCTTTCAGGAAGTAARAGGTAGCACTGCTTTCAACACAAGGTGAAATTTGGCAACTAGACACAAGCCAGTTCTCAGGAGCAGGGAAGAGATATGTGTGTCCTGGCTCACCTTTCCAAGCCGGCTTYGGAGGAAGCAGGCAGTCAGGCGAAACCGAACAAAGGCCACAAGGAAACAGCTGCCTGGGTTGTTCAAATGCTTATCCCAGCTCACAGGGTGTTCAGCAGCTCAACTAAGGTCCATCTCAATGAGAGGGGGTAGGTTGATGCAGTACCTCATCCTGGCTGGCTGCCTGCCCACAGAAGAAGGAAAAGTTCACACACCTAGGGAATGTATCAGTCAGGAAGGAGCTGATGAGCCAGTAGATAGTGCAGGTGAGGATAATCTACATCCATCACTTGGGAAAACTTCTCCYAACAGAGCAGGCAAAGCTGTGCAACACTGGCACTGTAGAAACTCAGTAGGACTAAAGTACTCACTTCACAGGCAGTAGAGTATAAATAGAAYATGGTGGAAACACTCAGAAATTGCACCATATCTTTTACCCATGTTATTATGTGAACTCTAAAAACAGACAGCAGTTACAACCACCTAAATAATTCCACTCCTACAAATAATACTTTTATTCCCATCCAACAAATGGGAGGATTCAATTACAAGGAGAAGAGATAAGGTTGTCCGATGAAATTGTTCCATGCTGGAAAAAAACATGTCTTGAAGATCAGAAATTAGTAAACAAATGTAAATCCACATGGCTCTGAATGATGTCTCTGCAGTCTCTTATATTTTTACTGTGACTGTGCTTTTGTGCTAAACCACTGAGGAGCCAGCAGCTCTGGTCCTGCAGCCTAGCACTTAACTTTCTCCACAGACAGAAAAACACATTTGCTAAATTTTACAACCCTCTTACCCCTCTGCAGACCCTTCAGCCTTTTGCACACAATGCCACCTACTGCGGTGCTTTTCGTTATTGCCACTAAATCTGCAGACCATCATCATCTACCCTGAAAATGTTGGCAAGACCTTGACCAGTAAAAAAAATGGAAAAAAAGAAAAATGAATAAATAAATAAAAWTTTTTTAAAAAGCTCTGTGGTCAGCTATTGACACAACTTATACAATAGAGCAGTGAAAACAGAAAGGGACACCCCAACAGCTTCATCCATGCAGACATCAGGCAAAGGCTTTCCCAGATTGTTCCAAATAGGCTGCTCCAACGTGTCTGTGCACTATGCAGTGCCACCACTTCCAACTCTAGGAATGCAGCTGTTGCATTTGCTACTGCCAGCTTCAGAGGACAACTTAAATTGCATGTATATGAGCGCTCTTCCATACCTCACTAACMGAAATACAGTATTTGCAGAATCCAACAGTCTGGAAGGACCCAAGCTCCGTCAGGCATGGAGAGACTGTGTCAGTGAAGTTTCTTAACACATGATCTAATCTGAAACTCACAGTAAAAGACTGTAGTGAAAAGTTTTATCGACATATTAAGCTTTATGTGTTTTTGGTCTGTTTGGGACCTAATACAGGGGAAAGAATTGGAGAAGGGAACAGAAAGGTAAGTTATAATGAACTGTGAAACACAGTTAGATACTTTGTGTACAAAAACCCTGGTGTGCCAAACTAAATTTTGAGTACGGTTCTCTTTTCCTGATACAGCACTCACAGCTCTGATAACCTGGGGAGAAGGTTGAGATTTATATTATTTTCAAATTAAATTATGGAGAATAGTTTAAGTGCAATTTACATTTCTGTTGCAGAAGAAAGGGCTGCAAGCACCATTTTCAATTTGTAAGTTGTATGAATACATACACAAGGACACAAGCTCTCTTTTTGTGATTTGCTCACCATATATTACAGCAGTTTCCATCCAAGCAGAGGGCAGCCAAGAGGTCTGGAGCCTGAATGCTCCCTTGTCTCAAGCATCTTCTATGATGGACAGCTAGAAAATGACCCAGACACTTGCTAAGTCAATTACACATCATCAATTTGGAGTGGAACAAGAGTCAAATTTCTCCATCTTGAGCTTTTGTGAATAAAGATGCCTCTTTCCCCACAAAACCTTTGCAAAGTATTTCTATCCCTGAGATACCCCTTTCTCTGTTCAGATGCACTGCATAATGTTTTCTGTCATGACACACAATACTGGGTACTGCCTGTCAGGTCATGTGAAGTTACAGAAGCGGCCTGCAGCAGAGATTCAGCACAATTCCCAATAAACTGTCAGCAGAGTGGAAAGCAGTAGTTGCCCATAATTTGAATTTCGTGCCAGCTCATCGTGGAAATCCTATCTGACAAGTCAATGTGCCTGAGAACTTACTCCAATCGATGCCCATATCCTGGGAAGGCCTGTTGACTAGCCTGGGCAGCGTGCAGGGCACCATGCTCCTGTCACACCAGCAGTGCTTGGAAGGGGAACTCCACCCACGGGCTTGAAAGTCTGGATCCTAATTACAACAGCTGTGCTGAAATGGAAAGCTGGAAACCACCAAAACTAAATTTCAGCTTGGCTGCAGAGAAAGTGAATTGAGCCACTGTGATCCTGGCTCGGGCAAGCAGCATGTGCACCATCTTTCCAGGCTGCAGGTCTATCCTAGGTCCCCATGCTTGTCAGGATGGATCCTCACAGCCACGTTCCCGCTGTCCTCAGTGAAAGAGAAGGTGGCATCTCCATGAGCTCAGCGGGAGGCCCAAGGGCTGCAGGCGGTGGCGAAGGCGCCAAGTAAAACTGCGACATGGAGACACCGCCAGACACACACAGGAGGCAAGCGCAGGCCACGTAAAACTGCATCACACTGTGACTGAMACACGGAACTGCTGCCAGTCATGAGGAGAGGCAAAGCTTTTACAGCTGGGGCAGGGCTGTAATCAAGTTTTTTGCAGGTGCTGTAGCTTATAGGAGCTTATAAATAGTTTTTAAAGGGGACCCAAGAAAGGTTAATGAGGGAGTTTTGCGACTGTTCACAGGAAGGCTGTTCAAGCACGAGAAACAGTGAGGGAGAAGGCAGAAAGGCCTCAATAAAGGGAGGCACCAGAGGCTGCTGCTGGGGGCAGGATGCAGGAGCCAACAGGTATCTGAGACAGCCCAGGAGGGAAAGATACATCCCTCAACGTGAGGACAAAACCCAAGCTTATTTAGTAGCTGACAGAAAAGGGAGAGCTGTACAGAAGTAAAACTTTGATGCCCAAAGTGACTGGCTAGGAAAATGCTGCCTGCAATGGCCTTCTGGATTAATACCTGCCACCCATCCAGCTCACATGTCCAGGTGTTTGCATGGCAGTCTATAAAAGTGGAAATTTTTCAGGAAAGCTTCTAATGAATTCCACCCTTCTTGCAGCTAGAAAAAAACTCCTAGATGCCCTTTTTATTTTTCTCTCTTTTCCTTGGCTGCTTTGGCTTCCATCAATTCCTCGAAATCGCATTTGCTAGAGCATGCAAACCGCCCAAACATTGAGAGACCATGCTCAAAATGTTCATAGTGTCTTCAAGCTCCATCTGAAAAATATCATAAATTTCATTGGCAAAGGCAGGTAATTAATGAGGAACTGCCTAACCTAAGCTGGCCCCCTGAAATTGTATTTGCAGAAAGCTCCAGCTGTCCCACAAACAGGTCTGAGACTGAACTTCTRGGTGCACAGGCAGTACTGCCACCCTAATTGTGATGACTGTTTCTACTACTAATTACATGTAAATATTGAGACATGATTTACACCTAAAGGTGCAAATCTCTGATCCCCATTGCTGATACAAAGCAGGATTTAAAAAGACAGTTTATGATGCTAGGCAGAGGACAAGCGGCACCTCTACTTTTAGCCAGGGAATACAGAAGGTGTTTTTCTCTCACATTGCCAAGGCATGGGTTGGATTTGTTTATAATGCCTGGGAAAGGGCAGGTAATGTCTG